TGCAGAGCTGAGCAGATCCAGGTCACCTCCCATTGCTCTGCCAACCCCCTGGGCCTGCTCTGGGCCCTGCAGGTCCTTGCCCTGCTCCCAAGGGCTCTGGGGGTGCTTCATGCTCAGGCCTTGGGCTTTAGAGCTCAGGGTGGGGATTGGGCAGAACTTTGGCAGGTTTGTTGTTCTGCTGGCAGGGTCTGGTTCATGCTTAGGAGAAGAGCTTTTTGGTCTAGATCAGGATTAAAGCTTAGCTTTTCATACTACCAATGCAGGTTTGGGATTGGGGTGGGCTCTGGAGTACAAATAAGAGTCTGGAGTTCTGGGTTTGGCTTTGCCTTTGAGGTCAAGCTGAGTTTCGGATTAGAGCAGTGGATTCCTTTCCATGGGATAGCCATTACTTTTGGGTTGGGGCTTGAGGTTGGAAATAGTGTAAGATTTTCCAGAATTGTTTGCACAGTCAGTGTTTCAGCATCCTCAGAATTACCTGAATCTGCTTTTACCTCATCAAAGTCCTTCCTTTCTTTTCACCAAGCCCATCTTCCCTTCCCCAAATTTCCAATTCTTTTTTCTCCAAGTTCCTCTTGATCTCCCCAAACTTTCACATGGGCATGCTCAGCTTTCTCCTAACACTGTACAACCCCATAGAATCAATAGGCCATTGTGACACCAAGGACACCTCATGAACACAAGGGACCACTGTGACACTCCAGGGCATAATAATATTTTATTTCATAGCAAATTATTACAAGAAGAACCCAATGACTTCCCCATAAAGCTGAGAAGGAAGGCTGGGCCATTACAGAGTCCCCCTCTAAATGCTACACACCAGAACACAGGCACTTTATTGCTCCTGAAAAGCATCCAGTCATCATTTTCCTTATGGCATCCCTGAGCTCCTGGTTCCTCAGGCTGTAGATGAGGGGGTTCACTGCTGGAGGCACCACCGAGTACAGAACTGACAGGGCCAGATCCAGGGATGGGGAGGAGATGGAGGGGGGCTTGAGGTTGGAAAACATGCCAGTACTGACAAAGAGGGAGACCACAGCCAGGTGAGGGAGGCACGTGGAAAAGGCTTTGTGTCGTCCCTGCTTGGAGGGGATCCTCAGCACAGCCCTGAAGATCTGCACATAGGAGAAAATAATGAAAATGAAACAAGCAAAGCCTAAACAGGCACTAACCACAATGAGCACAAGTTCCCTCATGTAGGATTGTGAGCATGAGAGCTTGAGGATCTGAGGGATTTCACAGAAGAACTGGCCCAGGACATTGCCCTGGCACAGGGGCAGGGAAAATGTATTGGCTGTGTGCAGCAGAGCATTGAGAAACCCAGAGGCCCAGGCAGCTGCTGCCATGTGGGCACAAGTTCTGCTGCCCAGGAGGGTCCCGTAGTGCAGGGGTTTGCTGATGGCAACGTAGCGGTCGTAGCACATGATGGTCAGGAGGGAAAACTCTGCTGAGATAAAAAAGGTAAAGAAAAAGATCTGTGCAGCACATCCTGTGTAGGAGATGGTTGCGGTGCCCCAGAGGGAGTTGTGCATGGCTTTGGGCACAGTGGTGCAGATGAAGCCCAGGTCTGTGAGGGAGAGGTGCAGCAGGAAGAAGTCCCTGGGGGTGTGCAGGTGCTGGTCGCAGGCTACAGCGCTGAGGATGAGGCCGTTGCCCAGGAGGGCAGCCAGGGAGATGCCCAGGAAGAGCCAGAAGTGCAGCAGCTGCAGCTCCCGCCTGCCTGACAATGCCACCAGGAAAAAATGGGTCATGGAGCTGCTGTTGGGCATTTGCTGTATCTGGATGTGGGGACCTGTTGAAGGAGGAAAGGACAGTGACAAGTTAGGGCAGAACATTCTGAGAAAAATCAAAGCTGCTTTCCCCTCTCATTGCTCCATTGATTTTCCTTCTCTAGGAGTCTCTCCTTCAGCTCCATGGCTGGAGCCCTGGTTGGGGCTCACTACATTTTCCATGAGGAGCAGCCCCTGTGCCCACTGGCTGTGAGGGCTCAGCCCTGCTCTGCACCCCTGGGCTCATGGGCATGGTGGGCACAGGGGCCTGTCCTGGTGTTCAGCTGTGACAGATGAAACTGGTCCCAGTGCTAAAGTGCTTGTCAGCATCTGCACTCCCAGAAGAACCAAGAGAGCAGAAGGCAGTTCCAGAAGTTTGGGTTTGTTTTTTTCAGTCTCTCCTCATCTCTCCTGAGGAGTGTTCCTGGATGTCAGAACCCCTCAGCACTTCTGATGCAATCAGGGAGAACAGAGCAGGTCCTGCCAGGCAGGAGGATTGTCTGGGGCTCAGTGCAGAGTGAGGGGAGCTGCTCTGTCTCTCTCTCTTGTTCCCAACTGCCCTGGGTTTGCTGCCCCAGCACAGCCCCTGGGCTGCAGGACCCTGCTCTGCAGGACAGCTTGGGGCAGCCTGGGGGGCACAGCCTGGCTTCCCAGCCCTGCAGGAGCCCTGGCAGAAGGGAACCCTGCTGGGATGTGCCTGGGATGCTGCAGCAGGGACTGGGATGTGCCAGCGCTCGCACATC